TGTAATAAGTTTCGACAAATAACTTATGCAAATAATTCATGCAATAAAAGTAATAATTCACACATTTACATCTTGCTTGGAGAACACATAGAAAACGCTCAAGACGAGTACCACTATAGCTAACGTTAATGTAACCGTGTCAAACACTATCACCCCCAACGGATTCAATCGAGGCATGAGCATAGCCAACGCAACTATTGGAATTTCCACCACAAGTATACAGGCCAGAGATATGAGTCCAGCTTTCAGTCCAACAGGTGACAAAAGAGCAGCCAATCCCACAGACCACAGCACAATCTATGACAAAGGAGAAAGCGAAATGAGAAGATGTGATCACACTGGATAGATTCATAGACATTTATAATCACATATATTTACAATGACTACTGAAAATACAGTGAATGCTCAATCCCGCATGGACAAACAGATAAGCCACATTCTCATCACTCACAATCACTCAAAAATAAACAATTCGTTCGAAGTCACTGTCATCTTGTGAACTGTTGATCATCCTATACATGTTGACAAGAGTTAACTCTGCAAACTGCAGTTAGCTGCATGAGCCGACTAATTACCGCCTGACAACTGAAATGACTATACCTACAACAGTTGAAAATAATTAGACCGCATTATCCATCGTTGAGGATGAATATGATGAATTCTAATGAAGTTCTTTCTTGTCAAATAGAATCAAAGTCTGAATTTTGCAGCTGCTATTCCCTGACCCTCTCTTGGGTGGGACAGGTCAACTGGAGAGTCACCAGAGATGTCCAAAACATGTCCATCAACGTGTTAATATCACTTCAGTTCAGAAAACGCTTCATCTGATTTCTCACGAAGCTGTTTATTCATTAAACTGTTTGAATGAATTAGACTGTCGATTGTCTTATCCCAGGTCATGTAGAATCAACTTTTCGGGAACTCCAGTTTATTCATATCTCCAGACTGTCCCTCAATAAACACTTCCTGCTGAAGCAACAGGTGGATTTACGTTTCCACATTTACGAGTTTTTAAGAGACAACTTTTCTCAGCTTTCAGGTCGTTTCTCATGCGCAAGTAGTGAAACCACGCAGTCATTGTCACATCGCCAATAAGTGAAATAATGAAAGTGGTGTGTATTGTGAATCACAGGGATGATCACTTTGACAAGGTAGTAGTGGGTGAAGACACTTTCAAATTGCACCACAAATGACACCCATTCAGTTAAAAACAAGTTAGTCTAAATCCCCACAATTTTTGCAGGGTTACAAAAATGACACTTACTACAATTGAAAACACGACATAGACACCAATTGGTCGTGATCGAATTGTCGACACGAATACGAAGAGAAGTAACACAAGGAGACCGACTCCTCTGAAATGAATTCACAAACATCAACAATTCGTCACAGATATTACATAGTTAATCGGAATTGTGCGTTATTTTGGTTAGTGCACCACAGTTCATAATAATCAAGTATTCAGAAGTTGCATTTTCAATAGAAATCGTTTTCAGTGTTATGATCTCGGTATATCGACTCCATTCTTTGATTGCGACGTCAACTTTCCATTTGTCACAGGCTTCATTCGCCCGGTGCTTCATGAAATCACTCGTTCGTTTTCACTGTCGGCGGAAATCTCTGATTTGATGATATAGTAAATCTCACCGTTTTCTAAGGAACGGAAAACATAAATGCTACGGTACTTGGCTCAATCTCTTTCCTGAGTCGACGAATGAGTGAAAGCAACTCGTCGCATGTGGTTCACAAATGACATGGGAAAATGAAAGCAAGTCAAAGGAGACTTTTGTATTTCAAAATTTCTTTTTCTCATGAGCCCTTGAAATATGAATAATTTAACTGAAGATTCGACAAGGCGACTTTACTTGGGGTTGTGGTGGAATCGGAAATATTTCATTATCAGTAGAAGGGAGGTTGTTCTTATGAGGAAGCATTAACACAAATGACAAAACCGCAGCTGAATTGTTTTGTTTAGTATTCTATACAAACTATGATGAATATTTGACTGGATATTAGTCGCCGGAAACACAACAGAACTCAGATAAATTATTTCAACCTCATCAGGAAGAGAAAATATTCACCGAAAACCGTAGCCCTCAACTCTGCGAAATAGACGACAAGACAGAGTAAATGGTCAGTTTGCATACATTAAAAGCTGAAACAAGCTAAATATTCCAGTTCATAAACGAGGAAATCGAAGTGTCACTGCAGAGATAACCTGCACCAAAATGTTTCCATCAGTGTAGATTTTATGAATTTGAAAATATTTACAAACCAGATGTTCTATAACGTCTATCTTCATAACCTACTAACTCTCTCATACACAACCTCTCAACATACACTCCTTGAATACCGAAACCATATGAAATGCAAGCCGTATATTGAGTACAGAATATGTATGAATCTGAGAGCAGAACTGCATCAATTTTTGTTGAATGAGATGAAATATTTCCAAGTCTTCGCCATTCACCATTTTCAGACAGTGGACTATGCGGTCAATGTCATTTAGGGACAGGAGAAATTATGAATTCACTAGAAGCGTGTTCAGATCAAACAGTGTTCAAATATAGAGGAGATATCTACACGTGAAACAGATGGTATTATTATGCAACAACCAGTATCGCCATCACTAACCAATCTGTGCATCCGCTCATTCAAAACAGCTGCAATTGTGAGATGCTCTGATCCTCCGAGATACGTAGATAACACATTTGGACATCATTAAATGTAGAGTCCTAGATGAAAATCTTCGCCTGATGAACAACATACCTAATAGTGTTGAGCTCTGCGAATATGTGGAACACTATTCGTATAATTTGATGTATTTTAACTGGTTTGTCGGACGACAACCAGATGATAGACGAAAACTTAATATCATCAGAAAGCTTCGCATTCGGACAGATGGCCTTATTATCATTGTCATTATTATTCGGCGAATCTCTTTATCACCAAAGTGACTGAAGTTAAAACCCGAATTAACTTGGCTGACCAACTATTACCTGGAGTCGAAGTAAGCCACAGAAGGTTGAAATTGGTTGCAAACTGACTTAGGTTGATCCACTGTCCAGTCCTAAGTAGTCCGACGAATGCGGAAAGTGTAAACTAACAACTCAGGCCTCCTCCATGGTTGTTTATATATAAACTTGGTCCTGTGTGACTAGTTCTACTGACCGTCAAATAAAATACAAAACTTCCCAGTGCATGTCTGAACATAATCAGACTTGGTTATCAAGATGAGACAATGATTCACTCAGATCAAAGCAAATGATTAAATAAATAATCACTGAGAAGATGTTTATTTAGTACACTATATCTGGAAACCGTTTCACAGAACACTAGTAACGCAGAAGTCTTCAGTAGTCATGGACATCACAATAATCAATATCATGTGTCAAGAATCCTGCTAAAGTTTTGTCATGAATATTATTCATATGGTGACATGATGCAAACCATTTGTCAAGATTTTATTCGAATATTTCTCTAAAACTTCTGATCACCTGATATTTCAACTTAACGAAAAGTCATATTTGTAGAAATAATAATGGACAAAAAATATCTCTGACGACAGATTGGAAATACTGGAAAATACAAAATGTAAACTATAAATAAAAGAGTGCATCTGGACCCTAATATCGCTTACAAAATCAGTACAAGGAGTTCAGTGGAGAGTCTCTTCTCGATGAACTGACTTTCTTAAGAGAAGAATCACAACACATATCCACAGTTGCTATTAGTATTCAATGCAAATGAGAAGTTGAATATGGGAGATATAATTATACAATAATAACAAGTCAATATTTCATGCAATATAAGAAAACAGAGTGGAGAAGTTTTCGGCGTTCCAAAATATTTTATCTTCCTACAGGATTTACATGTTGAGTGATAATCTGAAGTATGTCGTGTGATATAGCGTTGTTCCATATGAAGAGAGAACCAACTGTGTACATTTTTGTTCATTCATTTCCTCAGTGAAGTGAGCATCCTTCCGTTGAAAACTACCTCAATATATGGGCGACTACACGTAGTGATACAATTGCATGATCATAACAATCAGAAATACAAGTGAAATTTGGCATTTCAGTGGATGGAAAATCTGATAGCCACTGTTATAAAATGGTGAGATACATATTTTAACAGGTGGTTTTATTCAGGATGCATAGAGAAAAACAAAGAAAATTATTACTATTATTATTCAACTTTTTATATGCACTCATTAATATAACCAACCATCTTGTGACGATTCTTCCATCTGTTAACGTTCAAGTTTAGTCGTTCCCTGTGAAAAACCTACTGATGGATCTTTCTCAATGCGACTGTTAAAGCAAAGAAAAGGAATTCATTCGAAAGAGACTCTTCACTGGACCGCTTGTATTGATGTTGTCAATGATATTAGGGACAAAATGCACACTATTATTTTTACCTTGGACGATTTACCTTCCATCATTTCCAATCTGTCGAGCGAGAGGTTTGAATTGTGTATCAATAATTATTTTTACAAATATGACTTTTCGTTACGTTGAAATATCAGCTGATCAGAAGTTTTAGCGAAATTATCGAATAAAATCTTGACAAATGGTTTGCATCATGTCACCATATGAATTATCTCCATGCCGAAATTTTAGTGTGATTCTTATTGGACGTCATTAATTATTCTGATGTCCACTATTGCTGGAGACAGATTTTCTGCGGTCATGATTCTACAAATACTCTACTTTGGAAAATTCATTCCAGTGATTATTCTATTGACCAACTGTTTCGAAATCCTTGGAGCAAAATGTGAAATCAACAATAAGAATAGAGATGAACACCAGACTCTCTCAAAACCTGAGGCTTTAATATAAATCAGGACTGTCACTTCTTGACAATACAGTAAATGCTAATTTAGTAATCGAGTGTGCTGTGAAGTGGATTACTGGTCTGTATCACAAATGAATTCCACTTGTCAAGGTGTGATGAATTCAATCGAACATTCGATAAATAATGTTGAGCAGAGAACTTACATAATAATAAAATATACCCAAGGATTCTTTTTGAAGAATCTCCAAATCACGTCCCTACAACCAAGATAATATTTCATTGGAAAATTTTATCTATTCTTACACGAAAGTAAATAAGAGGACAACAAAAGCTGTCACCATTATCATAATAATTGTATCTTTTGTGATCTAAGAATAAAATTACTCACTCATCAATCCATTTGCATCTTACCCAAATATTGTCAGGAAAAGGGATTCGCTGTAACATCTCGGTGGTATAATCTGAATTGCCATACGATGCATAAAGCCGTGACATTTTCCAATGGGCTGCAAATTGACGAAGAAAATGATAGACGACAACGACGCAGAAGTAACTTGACCACCTCAGAATATACATGATGGAAATGGACACATAGATTAGAGTTACCGAATACGCCAACCGAAAACATGGTGTGGATATGACTGTCAGATTATTTGAACATAATTCAGGTTCCGTAACACTTGAGAAATACACCTGTTTGCGAATAGAAGAGTGTGCTCTAAGAAATTGAGTGGGTTGGAGAAAATCTCATTTGTGTTTCTCATACACGATATCAGCTTTCAGGAAACAGCCTACTGGAGTATCTCTTCTGCATCATCAGAGAAAAACTGGTTTCATTTGGCCATATATACAGAGTCAATATATGCATACAAGTATCAGACGATGACACCTTGCTACAAGACTGAGGATGATAAATGCGAACATCAGTTCGCTCTATCACACGTCACAGATTTCTGAGAATAAAAGATATCTAATCATCACACGCTAACATTCCACATTGATTAGATCCATAAAACCCAATTAAATGTGATTGAGCGTTCTTCTTATATTCACACTCAGGTGAAATACCTCGAACATAATCAAAGTCAAACTAAAATCGTCATCTTACTATTCATATTTGAGCAAACTTAGTAATAAATCAAATTGGCAGCAAATGAGAGATGAGATATAACTGAAATTAACTTACTTGTTGCACCTCCGAGCTTCGAATTTTCGTGCGTTCGAGAATATTCTCACGTATTTTCTCATTTATATATATATATGTATATATTCCGACTTCTTTGATGATTATTGACACATTTTTGCACATTGAAGGATCATAGTCCATTCTCACTCTAAATCTGATTCCACTTCACACAAAATGACTTTTTTCACATAATCGTCTTATTATGCATGTTGTTCTCATGTGGTTGTTTGTATGCACGTATGTATGTAACACATTGTAACAGTAAGCACATTTAGTTATCTAAGTATTCAGTGAGGGGGTATATACTAATTACTTCATTTGAGAAGGCTATTGACCGAAGAACGACGCTTATGTCGAATGGAAGAAGCAATTTGTGTTCAAACAATGGAGTTGATTCCTGGTTCATTTAGAGGGTTCTCCACGTAATTGTCTTCTTTGAACTTGGTCGTTCAATTGCGAAGCCGTCATTAACTTTACAGAAAACAGTGTCTGAGTTGGACTCATAAGGTGTTTCATTTTATCTGAATTTATTGATTGAAATGAATAATAGGTTGAGAACAACCGTAGTTATTCTCGAATTTCTCAAACTCTCAAATGGCTGACAGTTGCTTATGGCAATTATTTCATTCCGAACACGTAGTATGGGTTGATAGTGTATCTGGTTTATTGATTGATTCCAACAAAACTATGAAAACAACTTTGAATCGAATTCCTCTGTTTCATGGACTTGTCATAATCTGAGTACTTCGTGATAAAATTGGAATGGAAAGCTTGAGGCTAAGCGGAGATATCGCTTGGATGATTTCATTTTCAGAAGTGGGACAATTGCACTTTCATGGGTGAATTGGAATAGCCACTACTAACATTATTTATTTATAAAGAGTGACTGAGATAGATAGAGCGAGAGATTCAAGAGGTTAATGCTTCTTGACTTGAAATTTAAGTTACCTCTTCACAAGGATTTCTAAACCTCTCCTGATCCAACTTGTCTTTGATGAAATTTAGGTCATATATTCCTGCGCTACTTTCCTAGTCTTTCAATTTTCTTGTCCGACGCAATTTTTCAGATGAAAATCCATAATAAACTTATGCAATATAAGAACTCAAGCACAAAGTCACCATCGTCTAGCTGTTAAGAAAGTAACAGGCGAAAAATTGCTTTGATAAACCCATGTAAATAGATTTAAACGTTGCTATTCTAGACGAAAACTCGGATTCATGGATGAGGTGTTGTTATCTGAACAACCAGACTAATAATGGGTGGCAGTATTATTCGAGCTGATTGTGAAAAGTGAACAGTGTTTAGAACGTTGTCTGGAGAATTGTAGGATATCTTTAGTTCATAAAATTGGATTCACCTTATTAGTCACTTTCTCCATTTACTTTCCCGAACCTGTCGTTAAAAACTGCGATAATCTACATACAGCACTGTGCAGTTTGAATTGAATTATACCATATCTGTTTTCGCGTTATCATGTGGAAGTAAATGTAAGGGTCACATTGAAAGTACATGATTCTTGTGTGAAGGGATATTGATGAACACGCAGGTTATTTCTGAAGATATCAGTGAGTTGCAAAGACCGTGTAGGATGGTGATGAGCCTAATACCATCAAGAGAAGAAGAAGATGAAGAAGGAAGGATTGGTCATTCTCAGATGATACACCCAGGTGAACAGTATTGACATATCCACAGAAATGAGACACTCAGAGTGATCAAATAACAGGCAAACATCTGATTGGCTTTAATAGATTGAATTTTGTAATGCATTCTGAGTATTAACTCCTGCATCAAGAGTACTATTTGCAATCAAGTAACATTTGATATGAGAATGAACAAGTATGATTTTTGGAAAACACAAAAGATTGAGCGAAGTGTGTCGGTTTTCAACTAATTTTCAAACTAAAGCCATTCAAATGCATCGGTGTTAATAAGAAACCATGAATTACTGTAATCGTCAATATTGAATACTGACACCGTGACCATGTGGGCATGCTTTCTATTAATATCTGTTAAGCATTTGCGCATTTTGGAACAGATAAATGAATTATAATCATATTTCAATTGTTGTTTATACTCAGTGATAAGCTTTTGATTTTGAAAATATTTCGGGCGAAATTACTGCCTGTGATCACACTGACTATTGGGATTTATTCTAATTCATAGATAATTTTTTATCATATATATCGTTTGTTCACGTTATTCTCTGCAGAATTACATTCTAAGTTGTTGACAGCTGTGCTGAGTCCCCTGTCTTGCATAACATCGTGGTCACATTCAATCAATGTAGAATCACTTATTAGTCTTTCTTTCCATTTGTTCATATTGCATTTCAGAATACATACGTTTCCCTATTCACTGTTATGTCTATCATCCCACGCATGGGCGTCTTTGGATGAGTCTTTTCCTAAATTATTGGGTGACTGCCTTCGCACTGTTAAATGTTCTTTGTTCAGCATCACAGCTGTTTTTTAAAGTTGTTAGTCATCGTGCCACCTGTCTGGCACATTGTATTCACAACAACGTGATTCTTGTTGCCTATGTCATGGAAAAGATCGGCAGATCCTGAATATTGCCATAAGGAGCCCTTGTTTTCACCTGACACGCACGCCTCAGCCATCAATCTCTCCACTTCCTACAGACGTTTTGTGATGAGAACTTCGTGCAGTTTAATGAGTTGATGCTGAGACACCAGTTGCGAAATTCAACTACGGCCAAATCCCTTATTGAGACATTTTTGACAGCTTTCGTGTATGCAGCTTTCCGATATGAGAGACACATTGAAGAGGCGCTATTCATGGTCTCTGAATAAAAGACTCAATGTAAGAATTAGGAAAGTCCTTATGAGACCTTGAGGAGAATTTGTGTGTCACACTGGTGCTTTCTTACAAACACTCTGCTGGCACTGAGGTTATTGTCGCTTCAACTTTCCAGGTTCATTATTCAGTCTGAGTATCCGAAATTTCGGTGAGATACGGTCATTCGATCGAATGAACAAACAAACAGAGTCTAATGCTTAGATTTTGTTTGGATGAGGGATTCATCCTGGAAGAGACATCATAACTAATATCAATCTTGTAAATAAACCAATAAATTGTCGAAAGCATCCGGCTACTGAATACTCCAGCAAACAGCAGTGGCTATTGCAATTTGCCTTAAACAACCGTTGCTCTTTATGCTAAACAAACAGATCCAAACAATACTGTCATTCTGATATACCATGGAATCTAAAAATTCATAAATACCTAATTACGTCGGCCATGTAGTTATGGCTCCTCATCCTGTAGATATATAAAAAATTGTACCATACAAACTAAGCGTGACAATCTTACTTTGAAAATATCTTCCATATGGAATCGAAGGTATGTTAAGACGTTGGCAATGAAATTAAACGAAAAATGGAAACTTAACGTCGACTTCTTTCTCGATATCACACCGACAGCTGAATGCATGTCATTATATAATACTTCCTTACACCAATTACTTTGGTGCCACCTTCAAGAATCATGAAAGTACTATTCGTTTACCCATAAAGAAACTCCATTTCCAATCCCAGACCTATTGAATGAGTTCAAAATTATCCTTTACACAATGCTCAACCAGTTTATTATGCTACTGTGTTAGAACGTTTAACAACTACTCTACAACTGAGAAAACTGAAGGCGTTGCTATGTTCCGTGGTCAGAATTCCACTTGAAATCGCTTTATTGCTGATATATTTATAGTCAGTGACCGTAGAGTTCAAAGATTAAGCTGGTTATCTTCTAAGTATACAATATATATATATATGTATATTCAGCTGTTCACGTGATCAGCTCGTAAATATATGACTGACTGGACATCAGAAATATCCAGGAATCATTAACTATTTATCTGTCCCAGTCATTTCTCTGGTTTTATAGGTATGAGCTACAAACCTCATTTATTTGATAATTGCTCAGAAGGATCCCTGATTTGAATAATGTTTCACTTCAGCTCGGTTGCGTTCTGTGAGCAGGCTATTGAAGTGATGGAGCTCCTGTTGTCATTCTAGACATCTTTAGTGCACACTTCAATATGAATTCACCATCACC